TTATGTTTTAAGAAAATTGTTGTATGGGTTCGTAATAGAGTGAATGCACACAGAACCGATGATAGCTTGATAAAATTTGTTTTACCAAAGGAAACTCTTAATAGTTCTGGAACTTTCCACAAAGATAATCTCAAAGATCTTCTCAGTATCACAGAACGCAATCAGTAGTTATACTTGAAACTATTAAGGACGTTAGATAGAACGTAGTGCAAAGCACATCTAAAGAGTGAACCTCACACGGAAATAGCTCAGTACTCCGAAGTCGATCATAAACTGAAAAACTGAAAGCAGATGTTCTTTCCGGTCTTATATATATTTGCCTCGTCAACTGAGAAACCTCTAGTATCTTCCATTTCTCGAAATTACTGGAGGGCATATGAGAGCCGAATACGGTTACAGTTGAATATAGGATCAATTACAATTATTCAAATACCAGTTATAGTTACACAAGGACTGGACCAAAATGTCGACAAGTTGGCGACATTTGGCAATTTCTTGCCAAATTTGGTGATAAAAATTAGTCGCCAAACCCATTGCCACCTTGATGATATCTTCCCGATTTAGCGAGAATATCTTAATGTTAAATAGACTTGCCCTTGGAATCTTTTTTTTCCGGCTTCACCTTTTCAAGAATTCCACGTTACGGTATGCTAAAGATACTAAATTTCACATATAATTTGACTAAAATTATTTACATATATACAAAATTCGTAACAAAGATAAGCTTCGTTAATAAATCTATTACGATTTTAAAATCATTTCTTCAATTATTTTATAATGGTTAGAGCTGCTATCAAGGTATATTTATTTTCGACAAATTTAAAGCATAATCATTTAAAGGATGGTTATTGAATTTTTTTATTAATAAATTAAAATTAAAAATAGCTAGAAAAATAATAATATAAAAAAATTAATTTATATAAACAAAATTTAATTTACCACAAGAAGAAAAATAATATATTGTATTGGCAAGAAAGTGACTTTTATTTTGACAAATAGATAGCACTGGGTTCATTTTGTTATTCTTCAGTCAATTTTATAATCTTTTTCCTTTTGAAGTTTAGCATCTGACACCTTTCGGTCGGTATCGAAAAAATTCCGTGTATCGCTGTGCGCGTACGGATTCGTTATAGACTGAATGCACACAAGTCCGATATGAGGTTAATAAAATTTATTTTTAGTAGGTGAAACATTTCAAAGTTCTGGAATTTTCCACAGAAATACTGTTCCGAGTATCACAGAGTATATTCAGTACAAACACTTCAAACTGCTAAGAACGGTACACAAAAGGTGCTTAAAGAGAGAGCTAACTCGGAGATATCTCATTTCACGCTGAAGTAACAATTCGCAACAGAAAGAACAACAACTGATTAAAAGCAGATGCTCTAAGCTCCGGCCTTAAATAATTTTCAACCTGCCGCCGAGATATTTCTAGTAATTTTTGCTTCTTGAAATTACTGGAAAGTAATATGAGGGTCGAATTACGGTTGCAACTAATATAGTACTGTTAGATTACTATCAACTTTGTACTCAATTGGTGAAGCATTCTATAGTCGCTAGGCCAGCCAAGGTACGGGAGAGAACCAGAGATGCCAGCTAAATAAAAGAAAATCTTAATGGTATATTAATATTTGAAGCAGAGTTTGTAAAGTTACTTCGGAAGTTAGATATTTGTGACCTGTGGCTATTTTAAAGAGATACTGTCAAGACTTTGACTGTCGCGAACAAGAACTCGAGCAATATTTTAAGCATTGTGAATCTGAGTTTACAGAGAACATTTACTCTAGAAGTTAATAATAACATGGCCATAGGATATCTGCTTAGCGTTTTGTACCGGTTACTGGTATACACTTGAAGAAGGGATTAGAAAATAAGTTCATTACAACACCACCCACTCAGCTGCTAGATCTGTGCTGAGAGCATTTTTTAGTCTAGATTGCTTTCACATTTTCGCGGTTCATTGCCAGGTAGTCTTATGAATTTTTTTTTTTTAATTTGTATCGTAGTAGCTTACTCTTATGGAGTGGTTTCAGCCATCCCCGTCAATTTTCAGCTGTATACAGACGGCCCCCCAGGGAGTTGATCAGGAGACGTCCTGGGAAGCACTGGTTAGGATCTGTACCTAGGCAGTCTCAACCACTGGGGTATAAAAACACTCTTCACAGGACTAGAACCCGAGTATTGTACTCAGGTAGGTTCGGGCTTGGCAGGGACAGTACTGGTACTGTCGTATCCGTTCCCCCGGCTGTTGTGGAGCTGATATGTAGATATAAGCGGGGCTTTTCGATGGGGGTTTGGCCCTCATAGTCCCAGTGACGGGGACTGACTGAGTAAGGCAAGGCACCGAGCCAGAATTAACTGATGCTGAGGGAGTGGTGCCCCGAGGCAAAGGTGACTTTTGAATCATTTTTTTTTTTCGTCTTTGAATTTTTATAACCTCGCTGAGGCTGACTATAAAGCCGGGCAGGGACTGTGGGGTCTGCGCCGCCACTGATGAGTCCCATCCAGAGCCCGTTTCATCTAAACTTGTACGGAATTTCCAGGTCGAAGGTTCGGTCTCTGGCGCCCATGTATACAGACGGAAATCAAGGTCTTTGGTGGTTCCGCACTTGAACATATAGTGATCGATGGTAACTCTGTGTAGTACAATCCGAAGCGAAAGACATAGGCTGAGAAAGGGCCATGCGCCGTCAGGAAATATGCCATTGCTCTGCCTGTAATTGTTAATTCCCTCGAGGCCACCGGGAGGAAGTTAAATGTCCTCCTGCCTGTTAGCTCTTGTGTCCAGTTAGTTTTTCACAGGGAGAGAAGACAAAATAAAACCACAATTGTATCGAATCTTCATATAATTATGCCAGAAACTGCAAAAAGGTTAAGTGTATCGCACACAACAATTGGAAAACCCGCCAACTGCCAAGGCGGGATAGTGATTAGAGATCTTACTGTTGTACCGAGGGGCCCGGATTCGAATCCCGCAGAAGGTATGCATGTGCTTAAATATATACTTTCCATGAGGCATGGGGGCACTCTAAATATACGGCGAGCCGAACGTCCTCTCAAGGGGTTGTGGGAGGTGAAGAGGTACAAGTACCTGTAGTAACTGCACCTCCATAATACCAAAAGGGATGCTGGTGCTCCCAATCACAATTGGAAGCGGAACTCAGCCGAGGTACCTGTATAGTGCTGAAAGCTCTTGACAGGATTTTCCAACAACAAACCACATCAGATGTCTTCGACTCGTTAAGGAACTCAATATTTGGGTTAATTATGATATGGAAGAAATTCATTTAAGGAATCACTACTAGTGATACCTATTTCAAACCTAACGCAATCGTCTCTTTTTTAAAACGAATTTGCACTGATGGTGAAAAATGGATCGTCTAAAATAATATCAATTAAAAATGATAATGGGCCAAGCGTAATGAATTAACACAAATTCTATCGAAAGCTAAATCGCATCAGAAAAAGATTACGCTGCCAGTTTAGTTGGATTACAAAATTATTGTGCGTTTTGAGCTGCATTCAAGCAGCCAAAGGGTCATCTCAGATGTTTACTGACAACAGCTCATGAAACTGAAGGAAGCAATCAAAGAGAAAAGGTCAGAATTGGCAAATCGTACTCCACCGCGACAATGCGAGAACTCGCACAGCTTTAACCAGACGTACAGAATTACTGAAACTTGATTGGGAAGTGACGTCGCATTCTTCATATAGCCCCGACTTTGAACCGTCGGGTTTTCATTTATATCAAAGTTTACAAAACTTCTTAAATGTTAAAAATTTCAGTAATAACTCTGATGACAAAAAGTCATCGAACAGAATGGAAACTATTTGACTGATTATGTTAATTTTTTTACAGAAAAAAATGACTTTTACTTCACAGTAAAAAGGAAGAAAAGGAATTACTTTCCTGCTAACAGAATAGTTTTCTGGTAAAGGTAAAAAATATTTTCCCTTAAAATAATACACCCCTTAACCAACTTAAAATTAATTATGCAGCGTTTATTTTCGTTATCGTTAGTCATATGCTTCCGATTACAGAAGTGTTTTAAATAACGAAAACATTCATTCACATGGCAATCTTAATTTTAAAAAATAATTTTCGTAAATAACGTAATTTAACTTTTAATAACGTCTCCCGTTTCTATACTTATATCTGAAATGTTTTATATTAGTTACTGAAAAATAAAATTACAATACTTTGACACCCATATGTCAAAAATTGTTTTTGGTGTCATTTTGAACTTGAGGTATCTGTTATTCAAGTTAGTATAATTGGAAGAAATAAGTTTAAATGAAGTGCAGCAAAAGAATGCGCATAATTTAATAAGCTGTACAAGGAAATAATGTGGTGTCTTCAATATCGCTTTGTAAAATTTTACTCTGTGAACGTAAAAATTGAAAACATTTGGCCAATTTTTATAAAATTGAAATTGTTTTTCCAAACTGAGCTTTAATTTTATTAAATATTAAAGATTTAAAAATTAGAAATGGATATGTATTACTTTAATTTAAGATGAAAGGCGAAATATTTGAATCATTTCTCACGATTTAAAATTTATATTTTTAAAGTTTTAGATGGTTAATTCTAACTTGAGATGTTAAATTAAACTCTGAAGTTTCCAAGATGGAAGTTGTTATAACAAATATTATAATATTTACTTAGTGAAAGTCTTTTTCTTGAAATCGATATTAACAAGTAAATATTAGAAACACAAATGCATGTGGTTTTATATTATTTTAAATATATTTTTATGTTAAAATAAAGGATTCGTATTTAAACGTGTCGTTAGCTGATTGGTTTAAACTTTGCCCTTTCTTTATTTCTGTATTACCAAAAGTCTTCACTAATGCAAATAATTCAAAATATCTCTTGCTATAAGCCAATACAACGACGAAAGTATCAAAGCATCAATGCAAATTATCCAAGTGGCGATTTTTATCCCAGAAGCCTCAAAATTCAGAGCCACATCTTATATAAGATGTAAGAATGATAAATCGAGTTGCTGTTGCCGTTTAAGTAGCAAAGTGTAACTTGCGGTGCTGTTCCTGGCTAGATTACTTCATTTTGCCGCTTTAAAAGAAAAAATTGGTTTCGATATGACAGATAAAAAGGAGAAAATGATGGACCTTGACAAAACAACAGAAGTTTTAAGTTTGAAAAAAATTAACGATGGAAAGGAAATTAACGATCTGAATTTGAAAGCCCAGCACCCCTTTGAAGTAATGTTGTACGTAAACCACTTTAAGTCTTCTGAAATAAAAGTAGGAGTTGATGGAAGAGTAGTCATTGTGAATGGTCATCATGAAGCTCGTACTGATGCACATGGATTTATCCGTCGAAAATTTTCTTGCAAGTATAATTTGCCTAAAGACGTTAAGCCTGAAAATTTACTTGCAAATTTTACTGAAGACTGCATCTTCACTATCAAAGCTTACGACGAAAAGGAATACATGAAGCATGATGATGAAAATTTCGATATGACAGATAAAAAGGAAAAAATATTGGACGGTGACAAAAAAACGGTAAAAACCCAGCACCCATTCGAAGAAAGGTTGTACATAAACCACTTTAAGTCTTCTGAAATAAATGTAGGAGTTTATGGAAGAACAGTCATTGTGAATGGTCATCATGAAGCTCGTACTGATACACATGGATTTATCCGTCGAAAATTTTCTCGCAAGTATAATTTGCCTGAAGCCGTTGAGCCTGAAAATTTACTTGCAATTTTTAATGAAAACGGCATCCTCACTATCCAAGCTTACGATGAAAAGGAATACAAGAAGCACGAGGATGAAAACTTTGATGAACGAAGAAACCCTTTCGAGACTAAGGAATTCAAAGATGGGAAGATGTTCTCACAGAAGTATAAAGGTTTGAAAAACGATGAAGTGAAATTCATTGGCGGAGTTACGCAGCTGCTCGAAAAGAAACAATCCATTGAGGATCAGGAAACTAAGCCGGCCAAAGTCAAACCCTGCGTTACGGATCTGGCCTCGAAGAGCGATAAGTCGAAGCAGACACCCACCGCGGGTCAGGCTGAAATAAAGACCCCCGCTACTGTTTATTCTCCGAAGCTCGACGAAGTGAAGAAAGCTTCCGATGCCGTTAAAGATCCGAAGTCCGTCGTTGCGAAGCAGACTCCCGCCTCTGGTCTTTCCCCGAAATCCGTCGTTGCGAAGCAGACTCCCGCCTCTGGTCTTTCCCCGAAATCCGTCGTTGCGAAGCAGACTCCCGCCTCTGGTCTTTCCCCGAAATCTGTCCAAACGAAGCAGACTCCCGCCTCGGGTCTTTCCCCGAAGTCTGTCCAAACGAAGCAGACTCCTGCCTCGTGTCTTTCCCCGAAGTCTGTCCAAACGAAGCAGACTCCTGCCTCGTGTCTTTCTCCGAAGTCCGTCCAAACGAAGCAGGCTCCTGCGTCTGGAGTTTCTTCGAAGTCCGTCCAAGGGAAGCAGACTGCCACCGCAGGTCAGGCTGAAGTAAAATCTCTTGCAGCTGTTAAGTCTCCGAAGCCCGTCCGCGTGATGAAGACTTCTGTCTTGGTTAAGGATCCGAAGTCCATTGAAATGAAGAAGCCGGTCGGTGAGGGTCAAGCCTCAAAACCTGGCGAAATGAGGCTCTGCAAGATGCAAGCCTCAACGTCCGATGACGGGAAACCAACCAGTACGAGTCAGGCCTCAAAGTCCCGTAGGAAGTCCGATGAGAAGTCACCCAAGTCGACCACTGGGCATGAAGAAAGGTGAAAATTCTAGACCGTGAAGGCCAGGTGAGGAAAAGGCTGTCAACTAGTAGTAAATGTAAGTCAAGTAAATGTGTAAGACCCCTAAAAAACCTTGGATATTATAACATATCTAACTTATGATAGCTAGCTGCTGTTAATTCTGTTAATATTGGGAAATAACGAAATCTGCATTTTCATGTAAAACATTTGTTTATTGAAATTAAGCGGTTACTGAATATTGTTGCTATTCCCATTTTTAATTTCTTCTTTCTTATAAGTTAAAGTAATAAATCGGATTCTAAATTCTCTTTGTAATACAGTAATTAAGTATACATCAAAATGTTAGTCATAACACTCTCCGCTTCCCGACAACTGATTTGAAAGGAGGGAAAGAAAGACAAAAATCTTGGTTTTAAAGTGGCATGTAAAAGTAAGAAAAGTTAAGCATTGAAATGCTTCGATCCTTAAATTTCATTATAAATATAATCTTAAGTCTAAAAATAATTTTAATCTAAAAGGAAACTCGAGCACTTACTATCAGAGAGTATTTACTTTACCTTCAGTATTTACCCGGTATAAAAAAACCCGAGAGTATTTGTTATACCTTCAACATTTAACATGTTCAGTTTTAATGCTTGTTCTCTGGTCTATTGGTAAAAAGGAAAAATTTTTAAAAGTTCATTTATAGGAAACCTGACACATAACACAATTAACTAAGTATATTTAATAAGAAATTTCGTAAATTTTAGTATTTCATTAGCTTCAGTACAAAACACTCTCTTTACTTAAGTCAATATTTTTTATCCAGAACGTACTCCAGTTTTCCTTAAGTGATTATATACTAGATTTTTATTCCTGAAATCCGACTTTATTTTTCCCTCTAAAACTTTTTACTTTATTATCTAACGCTTTCTCTTATTTGATCAGAGCTTACAATGATGTACTGATTAGTTAGCTCAGTTTTATTAAGTAGTAATACGTTTTAATGGCACAGAAATTTAGTAAAATGATTAAACGAAATTCTAAAAACTTCTTGCAGGAAACTCTAAATTCCATAAACATCTAAATCGCAATGTTTCGTTTCATTTCTGTATTTTCTCCTTCAAAGGCCCACACATTTCTGAGCTATCTTAATTGATCTTATGTCATATCACTAATGAATTGCTGCTATATCTAATGAAACAAATACAATCTTTATTGGCCAGCAAATTTAACTCGTATTGTCTTTAATTATACCGTAGGTATGCTTTTATAGAAATTAATTTTGTACTGAACTACATTAAAATTTATGTAAGTATTCTATGGTCTCGTGCGATTTAGCAGTCGGAGATACTTCAAAATTTCCTCTTCTTTGTAATGCTGTATTTTGTCAAACTTTGATTTAGTTAGAAAACTTAGCATCTGATAACATCTTAGTCTTCAGTAAAATCTTACCTCACAATTTATTTTGGCCTAAATTGCAATGTAGTTAACGTTGGGAAATATATTTATGGTACATAATTACCTATTCAATGGTTTTTAACCTATGTTTAGAGACATGAAAAATCTTCCATTAAGAATTATACGGGATATTAGATAAACATATATTGATGACATCATATTCAGGTACTTTGAATTTTAGTTATATAAACAAGGTTCTTAAAATTTTTAGATGGACATAGTAATTCTATTTATTTTAAGACTGAATTTGCTCTGCTAATTCAAGAGAAATTCAAGCAACGACTAGTTGTAAGGATTCTGGGTTAGTTTACGGCTGACGGAATGGAATTGCAGGAGATTGGACCTGGATGCAAACCCAGGAAGTGAGCTGACTGAATGGGCATTTTCATAGCTTCTGCCGTGTGTGATATGAATATAAACAAGTTTGTCTTTGAATACCCTTTTCACTTGCATCCCCTATTTGACCGAGCTGAGGCCCACCAGTGGAATGTAGAATAGAAGTTATTCAGAAATTCTTTTTAAGTGAGCCAAAAAAATGAGCAGACTGCAGTGATATGCTAGCTCCCGAATTGTGCTTTAAAAGAATTTTTAAATCTATAATGTAGAATATTAGGTGAAATAATCGACATATTTTTCGTCAGTTTTGCATTAAATTTATGTTCAAGTGATTATATATTTGAACTGATCGCAAATAATATTCTTTTAAATCTGTATTCTCTTTGTGTAAAAATTTTTAATCTTACCGGTTAGTGATTAAGAGCACTTCGCTTTAAAGCACTTTTTGTAAAAAATGCTCCGTGTTTCATTAACCAAATGTGAACTTCAGAACTTAAAATGAAATAAAAGAAATACAAACGCATTAGAACTGCTTACAAAGCCTTATTTCGCATACACTGGCAATGAAATATAAGCATTAATTTGGCACAGTTCAAAGTAAAACATGGTTCAAGCATATACATAAATACGCAAATAAAATTACGAGGGAATAATAAATTATTTACCCATATATTATGTAATAAAAATTCGGAATTTAAATATCAGCAAAAGATTCTCTAATTCCTGTCGTTAAAAGGGATAACTGATTAAAAATCATTCTCAAATTTTCTCGTAATGGAAGTAAGAATTTTATGCAAATTAAATTTTAATTAATAAAAATTCTACAATTAATGCGAAATTCTAATTCTTTTCATGATAGATATAGAATTGTAGATTATCTAAATATTGCCTTCCAGAACTGTTTCTAAGGAATGTTCATAGAGAAATAATTTAACCTAACATTCTTCAAGGATTATTAAATTATCTGTACATGAAAAAGTACGCCAGAGCTACTTGTTTAAGGAGAGGAATGTCTTTCATGAAGAATTTTCAAAGAGGAACTGGCTCTTATCCATGTTACATATGGGAAAATCCAATGACGCAGCCAATCTGTTCCCCAGTAATCGAACTTCCAATATTCACTAGCATTTTAACAGCTCGGTCAGTGGTGGGATATTTTACAGAATTTATTTCCTCATCGTTGTTTAAACATATAATTTCTGAATATTGTTTCTGACCTAATACTTTGCAAATGCATGATAATGACATTCAGATAAAATTAAATTCGGATACTGCTACAGTTTTTGATATCAACAAAATCATGCCAAAGATCCATCGTACTTAAGAACGTAAATAGAAATGCATTGAAAAAAAATATATGAAAATGGAATCTTATTTTTAAAAAATGAACTTCTTAAGAACAATGCAGGTCTTTTTTCCGGCTTACAAATTCTTGACGAATCTAGCATGTTATTGCCACTGAACTAAAACAATTTATATACTGGATAGATCTCAGAAAAACACGCCTACGAAAAAAATTTCTCAGGTTTGGTAAAATTGAGCCATGGTTTTTACTTGTGTCTTTATACGCTCATTGGCGAATACGCTCTACTTTTGAAGCCATATGGAAAGTAACGCAAAAAATTCTTTTAGCTAGTGGGGGGGGGGGGAATGCAGATCCATATTTTTGGGATAATGTTGGCATATAATTTGATAAATTCTTTCTTTCGGCCATTTTGCATTGCTTTGAAATAAGTTGCGGTTATTTAATTTTCCCAACCATATAATGATTACCAGATTAAAATTATCTATGCTTTTGGGAAGCACATTTTAGAAATGAATAAAAATGAAAATTTTGGTTATTTACATTCTGTATCTGTAAAGACATGAACATATCCTTATTTCTTCTCGAGTTCGGCTGAAACTGATTTGGGGGAAAACGACAGTGATTTATGTCCTTTCTATTCATTTTTAAGCAGCCCACCAGCGGCCGAGCGGTAAAGTCGCTGAACACTGGTAGTTCGGTCCGAGGTTCGAATCCCGCGAACGGGCTGGCTGCATGGGTGTTTTCGTGGTTTTCCCCATGTGTAACGTGTATACGAGCCAGTTTCCCTTAGAAAGTCCTCCACGAAAGGCATCCCTCCTCTTAGGCAGATAGCCCTAGTGTGCTTTGCCGTAATTAAATACACCAACACCATTTTTAAGCTGTTATGCAGAAACAGAAGACTAGTTTTGTTCAAAATGCTGAATTTAAAGGCAACATACAACGGTCAATAAACGATTTCAGGAATATAGTAGTTCCCGATTCAGAAGGCAAAGCATGCAAGGACTGCTTATTAAAAAGATCGCCTTTATGGAAGATTTTCCAAGGAAAGCTGACTCGTATTTATAAGAGGAAAAATTTACAATTCCTTTTGGCCAATTCCTTATTTTCCTTCAGTGTCTATGAATCCCTTTTTTCGTTCATAAGGATCAAGTTAGAGGAGAAATAAGGCTTGCAAATAAAATTAAAATTCCTTTTGGCGTGTTTTCGTTTGGCTGTTATTCCATCTTGCACATTTTCTCCCCCTTATAAAACACTTTATTGAGCATAATAAAATGCTGCTTCTCCGATGACTAATCATGAAGCAGTTTTTTTTCTATTATTTTTTATTTCGCAGAAGTTAAAAGAAATCGGGAATGACCACAAGACCACAAAAGTCTTTCAATAAGTAATACGATGTTTCCGCAGAAACATTATTTTAGAATCATTCACTAATATATAGCATTAAATAACTTGGATACGATAAGTACAATTCATGCTGTTTCTGAGTTCAGGATAGGGATTGTTTCATCTAAAACGTTTCAACTATAGCTTTGGTGCAAAGTTGAGGGTTAAAATAAATAAGGTGAAGATTGATAAAAATAAGGAACAGATTTTTAAACTTGAATAACGATTGTATGCTCTATTTGTCAGTGGAAAGTGGCATTTGAACTACCTGCTTACGAGAATGAACGGCTTTTTGGAAGGCTTTCTCAGAGAAACTAATCTGTGTTTACTTAATATATCAGAAAGCGGAGTTTCACCAGTGGCAGAATAGTTAAGAGCACTGAATAATCGTAGTTCGCGCCGAATTCAAACTCAGGGTAGCGGGCTAGCTAAATGGTTGTTTTTGTTGTTTTCCCTCATGTATAATAAATCCACCAAAGGCCGAGTGGTTAAATCGATGAGCACTGTTAGTTCAGCCTGAGATTCCGAGATTGGTTTCAGGTTAAAGGGCCGGTTGCATGGTCGTTTTCGTGGTATCCTCCTCGTGTAACATGCATACGAGCAAGTTTCTCTTAGAAAGTCCTCCAAGAAGGCATCTGTCCCCTTAGGCAGATAGAGCTAGTAAACCAACCAAAACTTTCCTTAGGCTTCCCACGTGTGCGTCTCCGTATTCAAATAACTTAAGCTGACTCAATATATCGGAAAAACTGTGAAAATAATCTTCATCGGGCATGCAGCTAGCCAGCTGAACAATTCCAAGTTAGATCACAAGACAAATTAGCAGTATATCATAATCTCAGCTGTACGATTCTTATCCAATTTGGGAATAAATAAATGAATTGTAAATAACGGTATAAGTTGTGGTTGAACTGGTTAAGATCAGACTACAATTTAAAAATTAGTTGGCATTTGCTTTCACCAAAGCT